ATAATGGCACCCTCATTTATTAATGGACCTCCGTGCCCTGAGAAGAGAGGTCAGGTATCAGTTCTCCAGGGACAGCAAACATGTTTCGCATGCAAACCCCCTGCATTCGGTGCAGGAGTATCCTTTCCCTGAAACGCCACCAGGCTGCCCTAGGCCGTGTGGACCAGAGGCAGCCATGCGGTTTGGTCTTGAACCCCCATCAGCCTCATCCGTTGGGGCCAATGGCGAGGGATGTGAGAAGCTGTCATCCAGAACATGTGACCCAGTGCGCACAATCTTGCATTGGGTGGCTCTAGTCACAAAGCCATGTCCAGTGCTTCCCTTTCCATGGGGCCTTTCTTCAGAACAAGCACCAAGTGTTGCTAGTCACTTAAAAGATTAATGGCCCAGTTTTTGATGGTTCACAGTGGGATTATTTTAAACTGAATCACCAAGAGCAGGGGAATATTTTTTTATTTTTTGAGAGGGCAAGGAATGCCCAGGGAAAGGAGGGTGGACCATCTCTCTCCCACTGTGTTCTCCACCAAAATCTACTGCCCACCCCCTGCCCCTGTGGAGCAGCCAAGCTTCGGGAAAAAAATTCCCATTTGAGCCAGTGGAAAGCGGTTTTCCTAATTACCATGGATGGTGGACCACTGCAACCAGTGGACAGAGGTGGGGCATTGCTGTTCCTTCCCCAGCAGCCCTCCTGAGGAAGGCAATTCAGCTAGGAAGAAGGGCTTCCATGGATACCAAGAGGCACCTCCCTCACATCTCCCAATCAGGACCCCAAACCTCTCCTCCCCAGCACCAGTCATCTAGGGGTTTCCTGCCCAGGCAGCCCCCCCCCGCAAAGGCTCAATCAGTGGCAAGGGGAGTTTTATGCTAAAATATCGCATCTCCTGGAGCATGTTTTTAGCCTTGCCCCTTTGTCTTTCCACCTGCCCCTTCGACCCGGCCTGCCATGGGTTAGGGTGGCAGTCTCCAGAACTTCTCGAGATGAAAATTTGGCCCTTGGGTTGAAGGTGGCTCCACGCTCTGGACCATTGTGCATGCCAGCTGTGTGCTCTCGTTCCCAGCTCATGCCAAGGTGGCGTGCATGAAACCTAAACGTGGAGCAGTGCAGAATAAAATTGGTCTGCAAATACAGCAAGGCCAGAAGCCACTCCTGTTTCATGACAGAGGGCCGAGCACAGACCAAACAGACTTGTGTTTCAAATCCCCCGTCAGCTGCATCACAAGCGGGTGGCATGGATGCCCTCCAGGCACCATCTCTTGGCCTAGCCTTCCTCACAGGGCTGTTGTGCAGATCCTTTTGGTAGACAAACAGGATGAACAAGCAATGAATCCATTAATACTGACATCCTTTCCACGTCATCCCAGCGTTCCCTGGTCAGCTAAACTGCTGAGGAATGCAGGCAGTTCTAGCGGAATGCTTATCCTAACACTGCAGAATTAGCGGGACCACTAGTTCACCGAGCCCAGTATTCCCGCCTGGACTGGCGATTGCTCTGCCACGCTTCAAGCAGGATTGGCCAGCCTTTCCTGGGGATTGCAACGTGGGACTGCCACGGGCTCCCCCGTGGCCCCTCCCTGCAAGGCCTCCCTTCATGCTTGTGTCCCCGAGTTGCCACTAGGGGGAGACAGCATCCTTTTAAATGTCTATTAAAGGCTTGGGGTGGGGGGATACATTTTCCCCTTAAGCTTGTTTGCTTAAACCTAAGTCATGCTGAGTCTAATGGGATTTATTTACTAATATTTTTTGTATAGGGTTACATTTTATACAATTGTTGAAATCACACGTCCAGAGAGCTAAGGCTGTGCCACCATGATCCTTTTTTCTGGAGGTCAGGAGAAGAGATTCTGTTCAGCCAGCCATGCAGTTTTTGTAGACATTTTGCTGCCTTTCCTTCTGCAATCGTGACAAAGGATGCCCTTTGACTGCATTCCCATTTTGTCTAAATCAGTTTGCATGTCTCTTTTACAGAGCCCTGGAATCCACTGGATCAAGGGCAAGTCAACACTCCATCACCCATCTGACAATGTTTAAGCCCCATATCACGATACCTAGACAGCTGAAACTTGGCATGCATACTGAGGGAACCCCAGGGTGGGTGCCACAGAGTTATTTTTAAAAATGCATTCATTAGTTTTAATTAACATTTGTATGCCCATGAGTGAAGCCCACCATAACATCTTCAGCTGCCAAGGGCAGGGTTATAGACATTGGAATAAGAGCAAAGGGCCACCCAGTGTAACATCTTGCCTTCCACTGGGATCAACCAGAAGCCAAGCAGAGCCAGTAGCTAATGGAGTTTCTTGCCTCTGCTTGAGTGACTGATGGTAGCCAGCTTGGCTCCGAAAATGCCAATTGCATTTCCACTGCCAATTCTCAGTTCCCTCTCTCCCCGAAATGGTCCTTTCCCCTTCATTTATTGGATCTATGTATTTAATTTCATTCACTACATTGCTCCACCAGCCAATAATCAAAGCTGCCTGGGTGGTTTACAAAGAGTAAAACTTTAAAATTCATTATATAGAGCAGCCTGCCCCAACCTGTGTGGCCTTCAGAGGCATTTGGACTGCAGCTCCCAGAATTCCCACCCAGCAGGGCCATTGACTGGGAATTCTGGGTGTTGTAGTCAAAACATGTCTGGGCAGCATAACGTTGGGGGAGGCTGAGATGGAGTATAAGAAACTTGCTGATATAGATGTATAAACAGACAACACACACTCAAGTATCCAAACCATTTTAAACAATAATCAGAAAAATCCAGTGCATGACAACTTCATCATATATTGATATATACTATAGGCTATAAAGAAGAGGAAGGTATGAACCTGGCACTGAAAAGTTAGCAATGTTGGTGCTGGGCAGTCCTCACTGGGGAGATCATTCCAAATAGGGGGGCCATCACCAGAGGCACTGTCCCTTGATGCGGCCTTCTAAGCCCCCCTTGGGGGAGCTGCCTGGAGGTGGTTCTTAGATGTTCCATGGAGCATGGTGAGAGATTGATGCAGTGCAGCATTCCCAGTTTATTTATTTAAAACTGTTATATGCCATCCCTTATGCATGGCATCTCAGGATGGCTTACAATCATTAACATCAAAATACAATAAAACAATACATGCAAATGTAACACGTAACATATAACCAATACAAATTAAATCAACAGCATTTACACATTGTGCTGCACAACCTATGGAGATGATGGTGGGCTATGTGGTGAAGTGGAAGGGCTGGATATGCTGCAAGCCATGCACCAGCCCATGCACAATAACCCACCTGGTTTTAAAGGGATGGCTTGTTGCTATGTGTGAACCAGCTCAGTTGTTTCCCTGGTGCTGGACAGTAGAACCGCAGGAAATCGTGAGCTGGTGGTCTCCTCTGGAGACATGGTGCATCTTTGCCCTGCCCTGCCCTGCCCTTTTCCATGCCATCGCCAGTCTCTCCAGCCAAAGCCCACTCAGCTCACCACACTGCCGTTTTCCAACCCAGCTTTGCACTGGGGCCATCCCATTCCAACCAGCTGGGGACCATGCTGCTCTTGGTGCCAATCCATCCCTCAAAACCTGTACAGAACAACACAGAAATACACCCATAGTGTCTGTAACGACTCTGGTGCAGGCTAATTCTGGTGGGAGGTTCCAGGAGAAGGGCACGTGCGTCAGAAGTGCCATGTATTTTGCTGCAACATTTTTATGCTGCTAAGCCTATCAAAACCCCGAGGCAGCTGGGCACGGGGCCGCTGAAGGGGCGCTATTATCCAAGCAGGGAGCGTGGGCGCCCATGTGTAGGAGAGCGAGAGCGAGGCGTACGAAGCGGGCTCAGCCCCAGCAAGCGCTCTCAAATACCCCTTTGGACGTCCGATCAAACTGGTGGGGCCACCGGGATCCGTGACGCGTGAATCGCCACGCGGGGGAGTGGGACGGATCCTGCGCTCCGTCCCCCTCCCTCCCGGTCGGTTTCTGGCAGCAGCTGCGGAGAGGCTGCGAAGAGTCGTTTGCTGGCGTCTCTGGTACTGCTGCGAAAGGTCCCCCCACAGCGTTTCCCGGGGAAGCCAAGAAGCCCCCCGCCCCGTCCGAGACCCTGGACAGCACCCGCGCTCCGTCAGGCAGCTTCGGCGAGAGGCAGCTTTGCGAAGCCCGCTGCTGAGGCCTGAGGCGGAACGAGGGCGAGCAGCGCAGCCGCTCCTCGGGCCAGCGCGGCGCAGCCCCCTCCCGGGCGGGCGGGACGGCGGCTGCCCGGCTCAACAGGCGCGGCCGCACCGGGAGCCCGAGGCAGCGCGAACCTACTACACCTCCCAGGCTGCTCTCGGGACAAGTGGGTGGAGAGACGCGGAGGGTTCCGCCCTTGGGGGACGGCTAGGAAAACGCGGGGAGGCGGAAGGAGACAGCGGGTGGGGGTAGCGGGGCCGGGCCGGGCAGGGCAGGCTAGGCTGTCGGATCGGCGATCGCGCGCGTGCGGGCGGCGGCGGCGGCAGGGCGTTGCGCCACGTGTGCGCTTTGGCGAGGTGGGCGCACGGCGTGCTCGGCGTTTGGAGAGGCCGAGCGGAGAGCAGCGCCTCCCAGGCCCGGCGGACGGCCGCCGCCGCCGCCACCCGCCGCCTTCCGGGTCGCTTCGCAGCAGCTCCAGCCCGGCCTCTTGGCTTCCCGCAGCTCAGCCGCTTCTCGGCGGCGCGCTTGGCTTCCCGGCTCGGCCGCCGCCGCCTCCACGTTGTGCGATGACGCCGCCCAGATCTCGCCTCGGGCCAGTCTGACGGCGTCGGCCGGGCACTGGGGCTCGGCGGCTGGTCCTCGCTCCCTCCCCGCTCGTTCTCCACACGGGTCTTCTGGCGGGGCTGCGGAGGAGCTGAGAGGAGCCCGCGGGAGGGGGGACGCCGCCGCGCAGCGGTGCAACGTGGAGGAAGAGGAGGAGGAAGAAGGCACGATGCGGCTGAGGGCGAAAGCGGCGCGCCGGTGACCGCGGCGGGGCTGGGGGCGAGCGGCGGCGGGACAGCCCCTCGGTTCCCCGCGGGCTGCACGACTCGGAGTTGGGGGCGGTGAGGCTGGGTCGGGCTTGTGTCAGTGGTCGGAGAGAAACCGGCCGATAGCCCCGGCCGCCCTCTGCTCCCCTGCGCCCCGCGCCCGCCGCCCGCCCGCCCGCCAAGACGCTGCGGCAGTTCAGCTATGCTTCGCCGGCAGATCAATCGCTTGGTAAGTATCTAAGCACCCGGCATCTGGGGAGCTAGCTGTCCGCTTGTTTGCCTGTCCGTACGAGAGCGGTGCTCGGGGCTGCCTCCCCTCCCCCGAGCGCCGGTGGAGCCCGGTGGCCCCTAGGTAAGTGGGGCTGTGCATCCACTCCAGATTTTACTCTGGGCAGTTGGAATCGACAGTCTCCGTGCCTGCCTTGCCCTCCTGTCCCTGCCTGCCAGGAGGCTGCTGACCTCCGGCTTCCGCCTCGGCCAAGCGCACCAAAACTAGGCGCCGGTCCCAGCCATCCTCTCGTGGCCTCCGACCATTGCCCGCTCTACCCATCCTGCGCTCTTGAGGCACTGAGCGCAGGCGGAGACGCGTAAGGAGGCGTAAGGGAGCGCGGGCCCGCGTTGCCGATGCTGGGTTCCCCTCAGCTTCCATCTGCCTCCTCGCCATCCTTTGAGCTCGGCAGGTTGCCCGTGGCCATGGCAGGTACTGTGTATCCCACTTCCCGGGCAACCTCCGCAGAGTGGCTTGGCAGAAAGATGGCGTTCGTCCGACCGGCGGCTCCGAGCACTTTGCGTTTAATGCCTTTTGTTCTTCTCAGCCGGGAGCGTGCGCGAAGGTGGGGGCGGGGGGACCCCGCAGTGGCCCTTTCTGCCCCCGCCCCCCGAGTCTGAAAACGGAGCAGGCAGGGCAGCCTGGCGACTGGGCTTGGAGGAGCCCGTTCCCAGGCAGGGCAAATGCGCCTGGGGCTTTTGAGGGGGAGATCCCAGGAGTGTGGTGCCGCCCGGGGGAAAGGATGCGTGACAGGGAGAGCGTGGGGAGGCGGGTGCTGTGCTGCTTCGCTCAGTACTTGGAGCAAGGACCCGTTCGCTGCCGCAGGAGATCCAGTGCGTAGAAAGTGTTTCGCCTCGCCCGGCTCCAGCTGGGCGCTTGCATTTCGTACTTGCATTTAGAAAACGGACAGAGAAGCAAACCTCTCCCTGCAAACAGAAAACGATCTCACCAGGGAGAATGGCGTTCTTTCTCAGTCCTGCTCTTCTACTCAGTCAGTGGCGCTAGGGGCTGTTAACGATCGTAAAATGATTAAAAACAAAACCTGGGTTCACAAATGGTAAAAGCCACCAGCCGTTAGAGAAGTGAAAAACCATTTCTAGCACAGCCTCTTGTGGTTTGCTTTTTGTGGGAGGGCAGGTTTTAGCAGAGGTATCTGTTGTACGAAGCAGCTTGGTCCATGTATCACCCATGATGGCCAGAGGGATCCTCTCTGTGCAGTGGCTGTGTATTTCGGAAAGCCCTGGAGCCTTTCTGCATGCCAAGAATAAATGACTTGCTACGCTTGGTCCAGCCAACATCCATCCACTCTCCTGTGTCCAGCAGTGGCTGGCAAGACGTGCCAAGGTGTTCGCAAGCAAAAAGAGTACAGCAGTTTTGTTCCTTGTCCCCAGTGTCCTGAATGGCAGAGGTAGACTGCTTTTGCAGCTGGAGGTTCCATTTAGCTGCATTTGCAGATAGCTGTGCAGTCCTTATCTTGTGCTCCAGTGTTCAGAATGCAGCTTCTCCCATGCCAGGAGTCATGGGTCCATCACTTGCTTGCAGGATCCTCAGGCTGGCTCCTGTTGGAAAGAGGATGCTGGACTGGATCAGGGGTAAAGCTTTGTCATCTCTAAGCCCCCCCCCCCCCCCGACTGGGGAAAACAGTTTCTTTTTTTTAATTGTTGGATCCTGGCTGCTGCAAATGGCTCCCTAGACCTCTGTAGGGCTAAACGGATTATTTATTTACTCAAAACTTTTCTATACTGTCATTTATTCTAGTGAATCTCATGATGGTTTACAACCATTGGAACAGAAACTGTTAAAAGTAACAATTAAAGGATTGAGTTAAGCAATTAACAATAAGGGTTGAATTAGCTGGTTTAAAGGGCACTTTCTCCCGTCCTCTACATTCAAACCACTATTGAGTCCCAGTTTCTTTCTTTCTTTGTTTACTCTGGGGGCACAGAGGTGGAGCACACATCCTTCCTTGGCTTCATCTGGCAGGGTCCTGGTGGTGAGCCTTTGATCCAATCTCCACATTAGCACATTTTGGGGTTGGGGAGGGCATTAAGTCTCTTCTTGCAACATGCAAATGTGTATTTATTTGTGTGTGTGCACACTGCACTGAGAATATCTCCAAGTGCCTGAAGAGTTTGCACAAGAAAGATAATTTTCCCTGCCTAAAGGCCAGGTGGAATCACCATGCTTCCTTAGAACAGTAAATTGCTTCGGGAAAGCCATGCTTTGGTACAAGTTTTCCAGTTCCTTGGTTGGCATGCTGCAGGTAGCCCTGTGAGGTGTTCAAAATTGCTAAACACTTGTGTCTCGCAAAGACTTCTATAACACTCGCTGGTGTGAAAGCCAGAGAAAACGCAATGCTCACCTCAAATGGGGGTAGTTCAAATGATTGGGCTCCTTGTGCCTGGAGCCCCTTCTTGTACCGCCAATTCCCTGTTCAGGCCCTGACATGTCCAGCTGTGTCTGAGCAAGATTCCTGCCCATAAAACTGGAGAACCATTGCTAGTCCCTGGAGACCAGGGGCGTTGAAGCCCAGACCTGTGGTCCAGATTTGGCCTGCCTGGAATCCCAGCCCATGTCCTCCCGGGCTTGTCAGTGGGTCATACCACCATCTCACATCACCGGCAGGTTTCTGCTTCTCCCCAACCCACTGGTATTTCCTGCTTCTGCACCACCTTCCCCCAGTCTCAAAAGTCACATCACCTCTCCGTTGTTGGCCGTCAGAGCTTCTAGGCAAACCAAACTGGACTCCCTCCTTTTGCCTTCATTCCCCAACACGCATGTGGCCCCTGGGGGCTTCTCTGAAATTGAATGTGCACCTCTGGCGGAAAGAGGTTTGACGCACCTGGTGTAGCATCTTTGGGCCGTGTGGCTCATCTGGCAGCTTCACTCAGGGTTTGCATCATTGCACAACGCCAACCCTGGGAGGTGTGGCAGGGAAGGGATGGCCTGGAGCACAAGGCAGAGGTGGGGCTGACCCCCAACATTACAAACCCCCTTGGAATCTAGTGTTCAGCACCACCAGAACGCCACTCCACAGCAATTCCAGCTGCCAGCCAGAAAATGTGCTGTTTACTTATTTATTAACCCCCTCCCAATGTTCTTGGAAAGTGTCCAGAGGCAACAAGGTTAGGCATGCTGGACTGGGACTCGGGAGATCCCACCTAGCCATGAAGTTCACTGGGTGACTTTCTACCAGTTGTGGAGTCTTAGCATAACCAACTTGCAGGGATGCTGTTAAGATAAACTGAAGAGGAGAAGGAGGATTATGTAAACTGCCTTCAGTTCCTTGCAAGAGGAAGAAAAGTGAGGTATAGATGTATAAATAAAGCAATAGTAGGACAAATGTTTATTTATTTATTTATTTATTAAAACATTTTTATGCCGCCCCATTCGCCGAAGCCTTGGGGCGGCTTACAACAAAAAGATTAAAATAACATGTTAAAATATATACAATAAAATACAAATATATAATATAAAACATACACTATAAAACAAGCCTCCCTGGCCAAATAAAATTCAATAATATTAACATTTAATATTATTAAATGTTGCCCACCTCCACTGCACATTGTCCTGACTATATTACATTTGGCCTGCCTTGGTACTGAGCGGCTTCAGAGGGAGTCGTTGCAAGACGTACATGCTTGGTTTCATATATTTCAAATATTCCTTGGCCACTATCCACGGCAGATGCCCTTCTAAAGTGGTGTGCGACAATAAACCATGTAAGTGGATAAGTAGCCACTCCTTCCAGCCTGATCGTGAGTCGCCTGCCAGATACACGGCGCTCTGGCATATTAATAACGCAAACAGGTCTGTCCTGCCAGTCTGATGTGTCCAGCAGAAAGCCACCAGGTTGCTTTGGGGAAGTCATCCAGGCAGGGTGTTATTACAGATAGATTGCTTCTGGCCATGCAGGCTTTATAAATGCTCTGTCCTTCATAAACGTATGCTAACCATTTTTGAAGAAAAAAATAAAGTTGGCTAAGAAAGCAATGTGACTAATACAAAATACCATTATTTCTCTATTTTCTTTTTATTTGCTCATAATTGTAATATTTTAACTAATTTTAATCTAATTATTCTCAGCCACAGCTTGTTCATTATGTAATTTTATTTTGCTGTATTTATTTATTGTAATTATTATGTTGTAAGCTGTCCTGGCACATTTGAGGAGAACAGGGTAGAAATATTGTAAATAATAATATTCTTTGTTAGCAGACATATTAAAATTGTTTATTGCAAGTGTAAGCCTGAAGTCCAATCTCAATGCCAGGAAGAATATGTGAAACAGAATCTATACATTACTGAAAAAAAATCCCAAAAAACAGTTGTAAGTCTTAATATTTTCACCACCCCATTAAGTAGCAGACTTACCAATTTTTCCTTCTGTCCTACCTGGAACTGTGTCCCATTGAACTTAGTGAGGCTAACTTCTGTGTACAGTCTGTAGGACTGCAATAATTGCTGATTTCCTTTTATTGGTTTTGCAGTGCCGTTTTGACTGACTTTGGTGTTTCATCCACCTTTTCTTTAATTGTAATTCTTTTGGAAGGACACCGATTTGCCGTTGTGCTTCTCATTTCTCAGGCAGTCAGTATATTTGATGATAAAGTAAGATATGCATTTCCTGCATAACTGCTTATGAAACAAATAGGATTTTCCCCCAAAGCAGAGTTAATTGCATGCCATAATGTTATTAATTTTGCTTCACTGGTCAGTTTCAAAGCAGTCCAACAGGTCAAGCCCATCCCACCAATAGGAGATGAGTTACCCTAGATGTCCATAAACCAAGACCTAGGCAAAGGACAGCGTAAAAATGCTTTTAATAACTAACTAACTAAATGAAATGAAATAAACTGCATCTCTAATGATGGAATCATGGCTTATTCTCTTCCGTCGCATTTCAAAGAGAACTCTGGGCATCTGAGCCATTATAAAATGCAGCTATGTTTTGAGTG